TGAAGAGTTTCTCAAAGCATAATTCTACAGAAGTTTCTGAAAGTACTAACGCTGCCAAGTACAGAAGTTCTGTGTCAAATATGCTCTGATGATCAACACGCTGAAAGCACACATGCTGCAGAAGACTCTGATATAGCAAAGTTCTGATCATCATTAGAAGACTCTGATCCATTCAGACTCTAAAGAACTTGCTGAAAACTGAAGAAGAAATATTCAAGAATATATCCGTTGGAGCTATTCAACGTCTCTTTCCTTATTTGTGCTAGACACACTTACACAGACAAAAAGGATTTTTCTGTGCCATCTACTTCTAGGAAAGGTCACTTGATGTGAAGACAAAATGGCTCAGACCTTTTTGGGACTCTCTTTTCAACGCTCAGCTTGCTTGGTTCAGCTGCCTATAAAAGGAGAACTTCACCACATTCTTCAGTTACACAATTTGCTGAAAAGAAATCATTATATTCTAAGCTCTCATTCACCACATTCTTCAGTTACACAATTTGCTGAAAAGAAATCATTATATTCTAAGCTCTCATTCATTCTTATTCTTCTTAGAATTTATTGTACTTAAACTTAAGAGAAAAATCACTGTTGTGATAAAAGCTTTATAGAAGCATTAATACTCTTGTATTTTAATTTACATTGGTTGTAAAGGTTATTCCTTAAGAGGATTCAGTTGGAATCAGTAGCTCTTGAGAAGACTAAGAACTGTTGTTCTTAGGTGTTACTATTGTAATCAGTTTGATTTAATAGTGGATTAAGTCCTTGTTGAGAAAGGCAAATCACTCTAGGAAGGGTGGACTAGAGTAGTTGTTTAAACGAACCAGGATAAAAATAATTGTGTGATTATTTTTTTTAAGTCTTAATCTTTCATACTTATTCAACCCCCCTTCTAAGTATTATCTCACCTTCAGGTGACCAAAGTGAAACACATGGTTCTTCAACAGGAAAAATAGTGGTTTTTCCTTCTACTTATGTTGGTGGAAGGAGGTTTATGGATCAACTGTACTATGATGGAATGGCTATTTGTAGCAAGGTGAGGTTTCCTGATTTATTTGTAACATTCACTTGCAATCCAAATTGGCCTGAAATACAAAGATTACTTAGACCTCTTGGACTAAAACCCCAAGATCGTTCTGATGTGATTTCGAGGATCTTTACAATCAAGTTTCATAAGCTTCTATCAGATTTGACAAAAAAGGGAGTGTTAGGCAAGGTGCTTGCATGTATGTTTTCTTTTCTCATCGTAACTTTTCAATTTGTTACACATTATTAGAATTTACTTTTTACTAACTTATTTTTTTGTAGATATGTACACCATTGAGTTTCAAAAGAGAGGGTTGCCACATGCACATATTTTGATATTCTTGCATCCTTCTAACAAATATCCAAGACCCGAAGATATTGACAAGATTATAAGTGCTGAAATCCCTGATCCTACGAAGGAACCAAAGCTATACAACTTGGTTAAAACTCATATGGTTCATGGACCTTGTGGATTGGCAAATCAAAGTTCAACTTGCATGAAAGATGGGAAATGTTCAAAGTATTACCCAAAAAAGTTTCAGTCAACAACCATAGTTGATTAAGATGGCTATCCACTTTATAAGAGAAGAGACAATAGACACACAATGGATAAAAATGGAATCATTCTTCACAGCGGACATGTAGTTCCTCACAACCCAAGTTTATTGTTGAAGTACGAGGCGCACATCAATATGGAATGGTGCAACTAAAGTACTTCGATTAAATACTTATTCAAGTATATTAACAAGGGTTCAGATAGAATTTCTGCTGTTATTCATTCTTCTGGTGATATGTTTGATGGTAAGAAGAAGAATGTTAATGAGATCAAGCAATATCTTGATTATAGATACATTTCCCCGAGTGAGGCATGTTGGAGGATTTTCTCTTATTCTATACATGGTAGGAAACCAACCGTGGAAAGACTATTTTTTCACATGGAAGGTGAGAATTTTGTTTACTACAAAGACTTTGAGCAAATTGGTAATGTTCTACTCAAACCAAGTGTTACAGAATCTATGTTTACTGCATGCTTTGAAGTGAACAAAAATTATGATAAAGCTAAGTTGTTGACATATAGTGACTTTGTGACAAAATCTGTTTACCAAAAGAAAACTAGGACTTGGAAGCCTAGAAAAAGAGAGTATACAATTGGTCGTCTCATTTGGGTTCCTCAAAGCACATGTGAATTATTTTATTTACGAATGATGCTTACTGTTAAGAAAGGACCAACGAGTTATGAAGACATTAAAAGGGTCGATGGTTCACAACATAACTCTTTTAGAGAAACATGTTTTGTAATGGGATTTCTACAAGATGATAGAGAGTTTATTAAGGCTTTAAAGGAGGCGCATCAATGGGGTTCTGGTTTATTTCTAAGAAATTTATTTGTTACTATGTTGCTATCATCATCAATGAATAAACCTGAGCATGTTTGGAATCAAACATGGCACTACTTAGCCGATGGTATTCTTTATAATAAACATGTCATAACAAGAAATCCAGGTATACCCTATATGTATTTCAATTTCTTACTTTTATTCACAAGTTAATTGTTATATTGACATTGTTTTGTTTTATCTATGTTAGGATTAACACTTATCGATGAAGAATTAAAACAACTTACTCTGATTGAAATAGAAACTCAGTTACAAAAGAACAATAGAAGTCTGAATGATTTCAAGTCAATGCCATATCCAAATGACTTTGTACTTTCTTTTCTTGGAAATCGTCTGATTTATGAAGAAAGACAATATGATTCAAATGCTCAAAAAATTCTTTTTGATACTTTGTTCTCATCTCTTACAGGTAAAATTACATTCGTAAACTATATATTTTTCCAACTTATTCCATGTTTATAACTATTATATTGATAAATACAATACTTATTGTTTATAATTTATATTATTTATAGTTGATTCCCTCAATGCCATTTATTGTAGTCAATGCCTAATAATGCTTTAAATTCTCATTTTTAAACATATTGTCACATGACGTATTTTTACAGATGAGCAGAAACACATTTACTTTGATGTCATGGATGCCGTAGACAGACAAAATGGTGGTGTTTTTTTTATATGGCTATGGTGGAATAGGTAAAACATTTATGTGGAACACTCTAGTTGCTGCTATTCGTTCTAAACATAAAATTGTATTGCCTGTGGCATCAAGTGGGATTGCAAGTCTGTTGTTACCAGGTGGAAGAACAACACATTCTAGGTTTAAGATATCTGTCCCTACTTTGCATTCTTTAATTTGCAACATTGGCAAAAAAGATGATCTTGCTGAGCTTTTAAAGATAACAAATATTATTATATGGGATGAGGCTCCGATGGCTAATAGATTTTGCTTTGAGGCTCTTGATAAATCCTTGAGAGACATTATGAGTGAATTCCCACAAGCTGCAAATAAATTATTTGGAGGCAAAGTAGTTATTTTTTATGGTGATTTTAGATAAATCCTTCCCGTTGTTCCAAGAGGTAGTAAATATGATATTATTCATTCAACTATCAATGCTTCTTATATTTGGGATCAATGCAAAGTCCTCAAGCTTACAAAAAATATGCGCCTACAAAGTGGGACAACTTCAAAACAAATTGAAGAAGTTCGTATATTTTCTGAGTGGATTTTAGCAATTGGAGATGGTAGCATGGGTGAGGCTAATGATGGTTATGTTGAAATTAATATTCCTGAAGAGTTTTTAATTTCAACATTTTCACATCCTATTAAGGCTATTGTTGATAGTACCTATCCCGATCTCATTCATAACTACCATGACCCCAAAATTTTACAAAGTCGTGTTATGGCTTCAACAATTGAAGTTGTCGATGAGATTAATCAATATATCACAGATCTCATTATAGGTACTATACATGTCGTGGAGTTGTTTTCATGTTATTTTCATGCTAATTTCATTTTTGACTTCATTTTTTAATTGTTGAATCATTTGTCTGTTTTTTTCCTTTTAGGAGAAGAAAATGAATACTTTAGTAATGATTCTATTGATAGATCAACAACAACCGACTTTGATGCATTTGAGCACTTAACTGCTGAATTTCTAAATGCTATTAAAACTTCTGGCTAATTATAAAGTTGAAAATTGGTGCCACTATTATGTTGACGAGAAACTTAGATCAATCGGAAGGTTTATGCAATGGTACAAGACTCACGGTTACAAGGTTGGCTAATCATGTTATTGAAGCTAGAATCATTTCAAGAAAGAATATAGGTAACATCATTTATATTCCAAGAATGTCTTCGTCTCCCTCTCAATCACCATGGCCATTTAAGTTAGTGAGAAGACAATTTCCCATAATTGTTTCTTTCGCTATGACAATTAACAAATCACAAGGCCAATCGTTAGACGTAGTTGGTTTATACCTGCCAAAGGATGTATTTACTCATAGTCAGTTGTATGTCGCAATGTCCCGAGTTAAGACAAAACAAGGTCTTAAAATTCACTAATGTTGTATTCAAAGAAGTTTTCCACAATATTTAGTAGGTATAACATTGTGATACCAACTCCAACAGACACATTATTTTGCAAGGTCGGTTACATGACATTTTGTTGTACTACTTCTCTTTTACTATTTATTATTACTTTACTCATTTGTTTACAACATTACCATTTCATTAAGTTAAATTAGTTTATTCATATTCAACTTTTGTATTCTTAATTTATATTGATTTCATTTTAATTGCAATGTCTTTTATTTAACTCTTATACACATATATTTATTAAAATTAAATATATATTTACAAATTTATTTTACCATACCCGTGCTTCCGCACAGGTTTTCAACTTGTAATAATTAAAAATAATATTTCAATTTACTGTATTTTTGTCTATAACAGTGAGGGAGGGTTAGTTGACGGTCGCCGTTAACATTTGAAATGGAAAACGGTTTCCGCCATTAACATATAACACCAAATTGCATCGTTCTCTCTCTCTCTCTCTCTCTTCAATTTTCGTGAGCATGGATGATTCTTCTACTTGCCCCTTCTGTTTTGTATCGCTTCCATCTTCCCAACTCCAATGGTATCACTCCCTTTCTTCATTCATTCATCTTTTTCTACTATGGTTTCACAATTTCATATTACTTTGATAACACTGCTTCAATTTCAGGCACGCCAATACCCACTTCGAAGACGATGACTCTCGTTCCCCTCCGGTAACCCTTTTTCTCCCTCATTCAAACCCACCTAGCTTTTCCCCCTTTTCTGTAAAATTAACCTAAAAAAATTTAAAAATTAAATAAAAATTGAATCTTTTTCCCATTTTTTTTTGAAAGTGGGTGATTTTATGATCAATTTCTGCAATCAATTAGGCTCCAATGATTGATTATATTTTATTATTACATTTTTTGTTGAAATAAGTTTACAAATTTATGTTCTAAAATTGGCCACTTTTTATGTTTTTCTAAAGAGAAGAAAGTCACATTAGGTATTTTCCTTCTCAGCTTATTGTTTATGCTGTCATGTATTTTTTCTTATGCAGAGTAAAAAAGCAGTTAGTGGTGACTTACATTTTGATACAACTTTTGGAGATAGTAATAATTGGTGTGGTGGCGGGATTGGTAGAGACAACGGGGTATGGACGATGGAGGAAGAGATCTCTCACTTTGTTGATTTACAGATAAAGGGTGAGTTTCACAATGTTAATGGCGGTTTGATGAACTTATTGAGAAACTGTTTGGAATCTGAAGGTGGAAACTCAAAAAGCATTTTGTCAGTTAATGTTGATCATTTCCAAAGCCTTCAGTCGGAGGATGTTGGATGGGGTTGCGGTTGGCGTAACATTCAAATGCTTAGCTCACATTTATTGGCACAAAAGCGAGAAGCGAAAGATGTGTTGTTTGGTTGTTCAGGATTTGTTCCTGATATCCCATCTCTCCAAAGATGGCTTGAGATTGCTTGGGAAAGAGGTTTTGATGAACCTGGCTCACACCATTTCAATAATTCTATCTATGGTTCTAAAAGATGGATAGGAGCTACCGAATGTGCTGCACTCTTGCGTTCTTTTGGTCTCCGAGCAAGGGTGATTGACTTTGGTCCTAAGGAATCTGAATCTCTTTATCTATCTGTCCCTGGTTCAAGTGTTGGTGAACCGGAGCTAGTGAGAATTGACAATGGAAGGAAGAGGAAAGCACCTAATTTTCATGGACCAATGGATAGATATCTGTCTCGTGGTGGTGGTGGTGTTGGTGGTGTTTCTCAAGCAAGTTGTGGCACAAATGCAAAGTCTTGCTCTTCTCTTAATGTCACTATTGATAAAGAAAGTGGTGGCAAATGTATGGTAAAAGGTTCTGCAAATCAAAGTAAAGCACATCAAGTTCTAATGGACTTTGTGTGGAATTATTTTTCTGATAAAAACTCAATTCATTTTGGCTATAGGCGTGTTGTTTTCAGCGAGAAAACGTGAGTGATGATTCATTTTAGGTACACTTGTTCATGTTCTATCTATCTAACCAAACAAATGATATTGTTTCTTGTGGTGTTTGATGTTTTGAAAGCTTTGTTTGACAGGCCCTTGTACTTTCAACATGATGGACACTCAAGAACAATAGTTGGAATCCAAGTCAAATATCAGCGAAATGGAAATCCGCATTATAATCTCCTAGTTCTTGATCCTGGTCATGTAATATATTTGTGTGTTATTGTCTGTTTTCCTAATTGTAGTATTTAAATGGCTGTGTTTTTAATTACTAGGTTTAGATTTATGTTAAAATTGACTTATTCGAGCTTATGCACTTACGTGACAAACACTTGTGAGACTATTTGAGGGAACGTATAAAAACAACTTACATGTTCATTAGCAGTTTTCAGTTTATTTCCTTAAGCTTTTTTTTAATTAAATTTTTTATATAGAAATAGATTACACATAAGCACTTATATGATAAGCACCGATATAAGTGCATAATTATGATGTTTATAAATAGGGCCCGGATATGTTTTCTTCCTGCTTCTATCTGTTATCATGTGTTGATGTATGTGTTTTCTTGAACATGCATGTTGTGCAGCAATGATGACACACATAGTTTCTAATGCTGTTACTTATCGTTATAGAGAACGGAGGTTATAGAAAGATCACTAAGGGAGAAAGTTGGATGGCAGAGATTCATAAAAAGAGGAGTGCACACACTTACGAAGCAACAATACCAGGTTTCACTTCTTTTTACAAACATTTGCAACGCCTTGCGCCTTTGAAAGGTGAGGTTTTGATGTTAATTTGTCTATTTCAGTTGTGTTATGTTGATCCTGGAATTGCCACTGAAGAGGAGATGAAAAAACTCAAAACAATGGATAGTGTCTTCATTCAACTTTAATCAAAGGTTTTTGCTGCATCATAGTATCATATCTTATTTCATGCGATGTATAATATAACTATTTTAAGCTTTATATGAAGCTTAGTTATGAAACATTGCTGAAGGGAGATAATGATCAGATCCAATTCAGTATTCATACTTCATACTAATTCTGCAAATTGCACAACACAACTAATGAGACCATAGGGATAGGGGTTTATGGCTTTTCATTTTCTGTAAGATTTTTGCTGTCAATTAGCTTAAGTTTTGGCCTGTTTCTACTTGTTGCAATAGAACTCTCATCAAAATGGTAATCACTTAATTGATGCTACCCCTTGTGCTTTTTGTGGTCCAGAGCATGAAATGATTTCCAGCTTGTTTACTTGATGTGATTTAGCTACTGCAATTGTGTTAGAAAAATCAATGTAATTGATGATTTTCTATTTTTGAGTCAATTAACTTTGGTCCAAAATCCCTCTAAAGTTTGACTTTGTTACTGCAGAAGTTTAATTTTCCCTACTACATCCCAGTTACCCAAGATAGCCTCCTTTACAAAGTATGTTTTTGGGCATGACCACAAAATCTAGCAAATATCAGGGGAAAAAACAAAACAAATAAAGGTTCTCATTCTCATGGAATTTCCTTTTGATAAGTGAACAAATGCTTACATACCAATAACTTGAATGTTACTTGGTACCTTGGATCTACATATATAACATTACAAATACATACATTACCAATAAGTTATATTATGTTGACCACAAAAAATAAGTGTAAATTATTTCGTTCAGATTAAGTAGATACTATGGAGTTACACTCCATTGCTACAAACATGAATTTTGGCACCATATATTCTTCTCCTTTTTTTAATTCCTCTTATTATTTGATTAATATAATCATTAAATAATATAATTAATATAATAATTAAATAACAATGATAAAGACATATGTTAAGAAATGATCCTAATTCAGAACAACAATAAAATCAAATTTATTCATGTAAGTTTATATAACAAAATCTCATTATATATTTTCATGATCAATGACATGTAAAAATAAACACAGGTTAATTTATTTGTCTATAAATCTATTTAGTTATTTTTACATAACATTTTATTTATCTTTCACACAAATTCATGAGCAATTGTAGAAGAAAATTTACTTGGATTTCGTAGAGTTAAATATTGGAGTAATCCATGATGCCATATGTACTTGTCACAAAGTACAAGTGTGCATGGTATTCCTACGAGGGTAGGGAATACTTAGAGGCCTTAGTATGTTTATAGCACATGTAGGGTGGTTAGGGCTTGTTCACGACAGTGAAAGTCATGTACGATGATGTTGCAATGGTTGTAGAGGACCTACTCACGTGAGGTGAGAGACTTTGTGTATTAGTGATGTACTTTGTTTATTATGCGTAAGTTATGATCAGTCCTTTCCCATTAAGGGAGAAGTATTAATAGAGGCCTTGGGCCTAGGGTTACTTGGGAAGGATTAGTGTCCACTCAGTCAATGGTGGATCGTTGAATTTCTATTTCTCAAAGAGACGTGGATTAACTATTGACTCTGACTTCTCTCTACATAATGAACGTCTTTTACCATGTTTTCCCATATCTGGGCGAGTGGAAGGTACTTGGGACGAGGCGTTACGTCCTTGGAGGCAACATATGATCGTTACCCTTCTTGGGGGCTGCACAAATCCTACCCTCGCCAGGTGTTTTGCAAATATAACATTACACAATCTCTCAAGCACGAGGGATTTGATAAAGGACAAAGTATTTTTAGACCATAGAATGAGGGAGTATCCCGAGGCCCTAAGTTTTTCTGATGGTATGCGTGATGAACCAAACCAATCAGGCTTTGGGTTCTTTGGATAGATTAAGTAGAGCCCGACTGATGAGATAATAAATTCACGGTAAAAAAAAATATGGAGCTTGGCTTATGAAACTAAAAGTCCTTTAGGAGAAATTATATGGAGCATGGCTAATGAGACTACAAGTCCCTCAAATATAACGTTGAACCTCTCAAGCAGGACTTCTATCAAGCCTCTGACAAGACTTAAGGCTAAGTCTCTTAGAGTAGACTTCATTCGTGCCCCTTAGGCGAGACTTATATGTATGGTCCCGCCCAAGAAAACTCTAGGTCTCTCAGGTGTGGAATTTATATAGTCTAAAAGATCTTAGTCCCTTAGGAGAAATTATATGTAGCCTAGATAATGAGACCAACAAGTCCCTCAGGTGTGGCGTTAGACCTCTCGGGCGGGACTTTTATAAAATCTTTAGTCAAGACTTAAAGATAAGTCTCTTAGGATAGAATTCAGTTGTGCCTCTTGACCGAGATTTATATGTTTGATCCCACCCGAGAAAACTCTAGGTTTCTCAGGTGGAGAATTTAGATATAGTCCCTGAGATCATAGACCTTAGGCGAAATTATATGGAGTCTGGACATGGTTGATGAAACTACAAGCCACTCAGGTGAAATTATATGGAGCCTGACCAATGAGACTACAAGTCCCTCAGGCGGGGCGTTGGACCTCTCGGACATGACTTCTATCAAGCCCTTAGAAGGCTAAGTCTTTTAGGTTAGACTTCAGTCGCGCCCTCGTATAACACCCCGATTTTTATTATAATATTTTATTATTATAATAATTTTTATTTAATTTTTATCTTTGAGTGAATTAATTAATATTATATGAGATGATGAGTTTTTGGGAAAAATTTACTTATATTTTCATAATTAAATTATGTAGAAGTAAGTAATATCAATTTTAGTATTAAATTATAATTTTAAATAAAATTAAGGAAGTTAGTAGAATTATGAGGAATTAATGGAATTAGTGTGAGTAATAAAATAAATTAAAATAGGGTTTTCTATTTAAGTAGAAGGGAGAATAAAAAAACAATGCGTAGAAATTTTGGAAAATAAGGAGTAAGAAGAGAGTGAAGGCAACCCTAACAGAACAAGTGAAGAAGAGAATATTCATAGCCTAAGTTTAAAGCTTCTTTGCAAATTCGAGGTAAGAGGGCAAACTTATTCAATATATTGATGTTAAGCATGAGGGGTGGTGGGGAATCCTTATCCAATTTCTCTTTTCTCTTTTATGTTTTCCCTACTAATTAATGAATTAAACCTTGAAGGGGTTTGTGGAAAACCTCTTTAGGTTGTCGTTGTTGATCCTAATTTTCGTTCTCTCCTAATTGCTGAAATTGATATGATATTTGTTAAAATGTTATGATTAATGCCATAAAATTCTCAATTTGATATGGATGTTATTAATTGATATGATATGTGTTGAGATTTTGTGATTGATACATTCTGAATTGTTATGAGCAAATGTCGTTGTTGATGAGTAAGTGTTGATGTTTGAGTTTGAACCACCATAAAATTGAAAATATAAAAGTCTGCAACTGTTGTAGAGAGAAAAATTGCAAAACACCAAAAAAAAATTAGAAAAGTCAAAAATCGGGGGCTGTACAGAATCAGGTACTGTACAAAATTGGGTATTGTACAGTATCATTTGTTGTACAGAATCAGGTAGAAAATCAAAATTGATTCAAACCAGATGGTGGCGGCGGTTGCCGGAGCAGAGGCAACAGGTTTCGCAGTCCTGTTCGGCGAGTTTTGAGTCGTTTTCGATTTTGTGTCATATGTCTCATTTTTCGTGTTTCTATAGTTATTTGATATGTTTATAGTTATGTTTGAGTTATTTGATATATTTAGAGTTAAATCTAATATGTTTAAAGTTATGTTTGAGCTATTGATATGTTTAAAGTCGAGTTTGAAATGTTTAGAGTTGAGTTTGAAATGTTTAGAATTGAGTTTGAGAATTAAATGAGTTGAGTTTGAGTTATTTGATATGTTTATAATTGATTTTGATATATTTAGAGTTGAGTTAGATATGTTTAGAGTTGAGTTTGAGTTACTGATATGTTTAGAGTTGAGTTTGAGTTACTGACATGTTTAAAGTTGAGTTTGAGGAATAATTGAGTTAAAGTAGGTTCGTAAAGGATATGCTTGTAACCCATAACCTTTGAATAAAAATTACTAGAGTTAATTGTGAGTTATGTAGCTGTTATGAACACGCCTTATTGAATACTCGATGTTGTTGAGTATTGCCGAGAAATTATATAAATTAATTATTATGTTGAGTTACAATGAAATTGCTGAGTTATGTTGTGATGTTTTGTTCAGAGAGGAACTGTTGTTGTGGCTTTGTATTGGCGATGTTCATGCCGAGTTTTAGGTTTAGAGAGAGACCTGTGACAAGTATTGAAGTTGGAGGTTTGAGACGAATATTGATTTTTTTGTCGCATTCATGCATCATGTATATTAGAGATAGGTATGACTTTGGTCCAACGACGAGTTAGAACTTTGGTCCAGTGACGAGTTTCAGGGTAAGAGAGGAACCAGTGACGAGTTTTAACTTTGGTCTAGTGACAAGTTTCAGGTTAATAGTGGAACTAGTGATGAGTCTTAGGTTCAGAGAGGAACTAGTGACAAGTGGATTAATCAGTAACATACCTCTGACATCCACTACTTTGATACCACGTGCATTAGAGTAGATGAGATGAATACATTGCACACATAATTGCATTTGTGAATGACTATTGTCGTGGATGAATTATATGATTGATTAATTATGCTAATTATTCCATCCTTATTGTTTACACACCGCTAATACATAGAATGTGTTTCTGTGTTATTCTTTACCTTTGTGGTGTAGATATTCAGGTAAATGGGCTTTAGATGTTGCTTGAGTTGGAGGACGACGTAGTTGGACTTTTTTGTTTTTATCTTTTTACATTGTTTAGTTTCTACGTGTTGCTCTGATAGTGTAACATCGGGTTGAGAATGTCGTATTCTGTTTTATTTTTTCGAATTGTTTAATTGAACATTTTATGATTAAATGAAGTAATTTCTACTTATGTGACAATCAAAGTTGCGTTAAATGTTTAATTTTATTTCCGCTGCTATAATGTGATTTGAGAAAGAAGTTATGTTTAGAAAATGTGACATCCTTT